CCATTCCGACTCCTCGCACAAAAGAGGAAGCTCTCTCGGGGCCTTATAAGAAGGAGTGGAAGGCAGCAATGGATGTGGAGAACGAGGCGTTCATTCGCAACAACAGCTTTGACGATGTTGTTCCCCCTTCCGGTGTCAACATCGTCGGTGGAAAATGGATCTTCCGAGTCAAACAACTCCCAGGCGAAGCTCCAGTGTTCAAGGCACGATACGTGGCGAAGGGTTTCACCCAGAAGGAGTATCTCCACTTCTTCGAAACCTTTTCGCCCACGACCAAGTGTATGGCCTCAAGCAGGCTCCTCGTGAGTGGCACAACAAGGTGAAGGAAGTCCTCCTCGCACTTGACTTCCATCCCTCTGCCTCAGATTCCAGTCTCTTTGTTCGTCACTCCTCCGAGCCCTTCTACATCCTCGTCTATGTCGACGACTTCATTCTAGCCGCCAGAGATCCAGCCAACATGGCAGCTGTCCAGTCTGCTCTCAGCTCCGCCCTTCTCATGAAGGATCTTGGTGACCTCAAGAACTACCTGGGGATGGAGATCACTGGTGACCGCCAGGCTTGCACGATCACGCTCTCCCAAGAGTCCTACATCGACAACCTTCTCAAGCGGTTCGAGATGGACTCCAGTAACTCTATCTCCACTCTACTCCCACTACAGCATCAGCTCACGGCCCCTCCAGTTCCTTCTCCTGACGCCTGCAAGGACCCGTACCATAGAACGGAGAAGGCGATGGTGGTCAGCCTTGCCGAGAGCCTTTGTTAAGAGGTCGGCGAGGTTGCAATCTGAGGCGATGTACCGTACCGTCAGCAGGTCACTCTGAACAAGATCTCGGATGAAGAAATGACGAAGTTCGATGTGCTTGGTGCGAGAGTGGAAGACAGGATGCTTGGTGAGGTGAATGGCACTCTGGTTGTCACACCACAGGGTGGGCGACTGCTGGGGGTAGCCTAACTCAGCGAGGAGAAAGGAGAGCCAGCGTGCCTCTTGAGCAGCCATTGTGCCCGCGTAGAGCTCGGCCTTGCAGGATGACAGGGAGACTGTAGAGGACCGAGTAGAGCGCCAGCTGATGACTCCGCTACCAAGGGTGAAGCAGTACCCTTGGGAGGAGCGTCTGTCAGTCTGGTCATCCGCCCATGAGGAGTCTGTGTATCCCTCGAGCTTGACTGGAGAGGTACCACCAAGAGTGAGGATGTGAGACTTGGTGGCTTGTAGATAGCGGAGGACCCTCTTGGCTGCAGACCAATGCGAGACAGTGTAGCGTCCGGGGGAGACGTACCGAGAGAGAACACTAACCGGGTAAGCCAAGTCTGGTCGAGTGCACATCATGGCATACATGAGTGAACCGACTAGCTCAGGGTACGGGTCCTTGCAGGCGTCAGGAGAAGGAACTGGAGGGGCCATGAGCTGATGCTGTAGTGGGAGTGGAGTGGAGACAGAGTTACTGGAGTCCATGTCGAACCGCTTGAGAAGGTTGTCGATGTAGGACTCCTGGGAGAGCGTGATCGTGCAAGCCTGGCGGTCACGAGTGATCTCCATCCCCAGGTAGTTCTTGAGGTCACCAAGATCCTTCATGAGAAGGGCGGAGCTGAGAGCAGAGTGGACAGTTGCCATGTCGGCTGGATCTCTGGCGGCTAGAATGAAGTCGTCGACGTAGACGAGGATGTAGAAGGGATCGGAGGAGTGACGAACGAAGAGACTGGAATCTGAGGCAGAGGGATGGAAGTCAAGTGCGAAGAGGACTTCCTTCACCTTGTTGTGCCACTCACGAGGAGCCTGCTTGAGGCCATACACTGGGCGCTTCAGCTTCCACACTGTGTTGGCAGGGTAAGTGCCAGGAAACCCCGGTGGGCGTTCCATGTGAACATTCTCCTTGAGCTGGCCTTGGAGAAAGGCGGAGGAGGCATCCATGGACTTGATCTCGAAGTTGCCGCGAGCGGCTATATCAAGAAGAGCGCGCACACACGGGAGCTTGGCCGTGGGCCAGAAGGTTTCGAAGAAGTCGAGATACTCCTTCTCGGTGAAACCCTTTGCCACGTATCGTGCCTTGAACACTGGAGCTTCGCCTGGGAGTTGTTTGACTCGGAAGATCCATTTTCCGCCGACGATGTTGACACCGGAAGGGGGAACAACATCGTCAAAGCTGTTGTTGCGAATGAATGCCTCGTTCTCCACATCCATTGCTGCCTTCCACTCCTTCTTATAAGGCCCCGAGAGAGCTTCCTCTTTTGTGCGAGGAGTCGGAATGGTCCGGTTCTCGATGAAGTTGAGGGAAGGGCAGTCAGTAATGTCCGGGAAGATGTGAGAGAGAAATTGGCAGACCGCGTGAAAGTCAAACAGCTCCTAATGCCTGTCCTCCAGAAGTGCACGGGGGGGAATACGGATGGAGGGGACATCACCCCCGGCAGGAGGAGGCAGGGTGACCGAACACCGGATGGAGAAGGCGGCTGGTCCCCAGGCGAGAGGCGGAGCCGGTCCCTTGGAACGAGTGCGACTAGAGACCGGAGACGAAGGCGGCTGCAGTGGGACCAGAGGGACTGGGCGCCTCCGATAGGAGACTGGTGAGCCAGGTTCGACGCGCGGGGATGGCGGAGTAGGAGGAGGTGCCGCTGCGGAGGATACTGGGGAGGCCGTGTGAGACACGCCGGACGGAGAAGGCCCCGGAGAAGGGGCAGCGGCCGGAGGTGGGGCATCGAAGTCTGCCCAAACAAGCGTCGGGGGAGGTGGAGGAGGCTCGCCCGTGGTCGCAGAGTGGAATGGGCGTGTCTCATCGAAGACGACATCACGGCTGCGAATCAGCTATCTGGTGATTGGGTTGAGGAATAAGTAGTCTGGGGAGTCGAAGTTGTGCCCCAGGTACATGCAGGTCTGGGTTTTGGGACCAAGCTTGCCACCTTGCTTCCTGCGCGTGTGGGGGCTTAGCAACACATACGCGGTACACCTCCAGACGCGTAGAGAGCGGGCGGAAGGCGTGACCCCAAGCCAGAGAGCGGTAGGTGTGGTGTCGGGCCGGTGGGGATGCGGATAAAGATTGTAGAGGAGTGCCGCATGGAAGAGGGCATATCCCCAGAGTGACCGTGGTGCGTTGGCGTGACTGAGGAGGCAGCGAGCGATCTGAACCAAGGTGTGGTTGCGGCTCTCTGCAATGCCGTTCTGCAGCGGGCTTTCGGGGAGCGTGAAGGTTTGCCGAATCCCTTGGGCCGCACAGAAGTTATCGAGTTTGCCATTGCGAAATTCTCCCCCGCCATCAGAATGGAGGCACTTGACAGGAGTGCCAAACGTGACTTGAGCCTGGCGCACCCACGCCATGATGACATCAGGTGCCTCCGCCTTGGTATGCAGGAGGTGCACAGAAACATACCGCGAGTGGTCATCGACTAGTGTAAGAAAGTACCGATGACCGCCTCGGGATGCGACAGGAGCTGGGCCCTAGACATCCATGTGCACTAGGTCCAGCGGAGCAGCTGCGACGGATGGGGAGGAAGGGTGCGGCTGCTGCCTGAGCTTGCTCTTGGTGCAGTCCAGGCAGGTGGGTGCAGGTGAGTCTGTTGGTGGAGGAAGCGCCGACGGGAGGCCAAGAAGAAGTTTCTGAGAAGCAATGTCGTCAAGTGTACGGAAGTTGGGGTGACCCAAGCGATGGTGGTAGAGGATGGTTGGGTTGGCGAAGCTGCGACACGAAGACGGAGTGGTGCTGGCAGCTTGCGCTTGGGAGAGGGCGGTGAGAGGTGCAGGTGAACGCAACGTATAGAGCTTGCTACTGTTGAGTGTGAAGCGTGCTAGGAGCTTGTTGGACTTAGGGTCAAAGAGGTCACAGTGATCCGAGTGTGTTGGGAAGATCGTGGTGACGCCTGCCCGTTGGAGCTCGTGTTGGACCATGAGATTGTGGCGTAGAGTGGGAACACACATGCCAGTCACACTGCCCGAAGGAAAAGCTGGGCACGGAACTGTGGAGGAGCCCTTGGCGTGTGTTGTGAAACTGGAGTCTGCTCCAAGTAGACGGATTGGTGTATCGTATGGCTTGAAGGAGTGTTCTTCCTTGAGAACCGTGTGAGTGGCCCCACTGTCGAGGGTGAACTCTATTGTAGCTGAGGTGCTTTGTGAGCCAGGATACTGCGTCGTCTCATTAATCGTGGCAGTGCCAGGGAACAACATGTTGAGGCGCACATCAGCAGGTGCAGCCACAGCAGCCTGCACAGATTCCTGCGCTTCGACTTGATTGACTTGGCGAGGAGCACGATTGACCATCCAGGTTGGCGGATTCGTGGCGGTCTCGTTGACGGCATACCAATCGTCATCCTTTTTCTTGAAGCAGGAGGCAAGGGCGTGGTTGGTGCTGCCACACACCTGGCCGGCATGAGGGCCGCGCTTGCTGACATAGGGACACGGGGGGAAGCGGCATAGGCTTGAGGCACGGGAGCGCTGGAATGGCACCGAAGCGGCATAGGCTTGAGGCACGGGAGCGCGGATTGCATTGGCCTTGGCTTTGTTGGTGCATATTCGTTTGCACGTCATCCTGTCGTCTGTTCGCATCATTTCGTTGCATGTGTTTTGTGTGCTACGTTGTTTGTATGGTTTGTTGGGTTTGCATGTCTTTGCATGTTCATCTTGTGCTTGTGCAGATGTGCTTGGATTGTGCATGACATCGAGCACATTCCAACGAGCCAAGAATTGTTGGAATCGGAGCACATATGAAGAAGTTACGAAGAAATGTTTGATGGATTTGTTACAACTCATTGGAAGTCCTTGTCAGCTGCTACACCAAAGTTGGAGAGCCCTATAACGAGGAGGGACCAGCATGTGTGGGACTTTTGTCCCCACCTTGCAGCTGCAGCATTTGGGGTTTGGAGGCCAACCTGGCACAGTGTGAAATTTGTCTTGCCAGGCTGGCTGAACCTGAGGATGGGGAGTCAAAACTTTGACTCTTGTCATGTTCTTGACCATGGGCCTCCAGGGTCCTTCCCTTTCATCCTTCACTTCCTACCCCACCTTCCAACTATGCTTCAATGCCTTTTCCATCATGTCTCTGAACTTGTAAGCTTCAATCATAGTGACTCTGAGGACTGTCAACTTCTCCTAGGGCAGATTACCCCCCAGTGCGCCAAACGCCATAGCTCACTCGTTTAGCTACGGAATCGAGTGATTCAACTTTCAGTGGAAAGCTGACACTGCCAGCTACAACATATCCGATTTTCAGATCGTTTCACCGATTGGAGTTTTTGATATAGCTATTCGAAGGTCGCGAGTTTTCTGGGCGTCATAACGAAGTGCTGCAGAAATTTCCAAGGAGCCATTGAATCATCTGCTTATAGCCTTCTCTAACCAACAAGTGGTATCAGAGCCTATTATCACGCATTTGGGACCTAAAATACGATGGGAGATAAAGAGGACTCTGGTGGAGGTGATACTTCAGTCCAAGGAGGCAGCTCAACCCAAGATTCTGGCATTGCAGCGCAAAGGGGAGCGCGTACAAGCCAGGGGTCACTGCTTAAGGAGGTGCTGAAGAACTTCACCATTGAGAAGTTCTCTGGAGATGGCTATGATGATTGGGCATGGAAGATGCAGCTCTACTTTCGACAAATTGGCCTCTTGAAGCTCATGATTGGAACGGAGCCAAGGCCAAAGGAAATGGCAGAGCAAGCGGACTGGGATGAACGTTCATCTGCTGGGTACTATCTACTGTCACAAAGCTTGGAGCTGAACCAGAGGCATCACATCATGCATCTGCTACCGGAAATTGATTGTGGGCCCAAGGCATGGGCAGTGCTCAAGGACCTGCACGCTCCGACATCGGTTGCCGCTTCTCTCATGCTGGATCGGGAGCTGTCCATGCTGCGGTTGAGCGAGAATGAAGCTGTGCAGCCCGTACTGGACAAGATGAGGGAACTCTACGCGAAATTGGCGATTGCAGGCATCACGTACCCAGAGCAGACAAAGTGTCTCAAGATGCTCAGCCTGCTGCCGGAGTCTTGGCTGCAATTTATAAGCGGACTCAGCTTGCCACAAAACCAAAGTCAATGGACATTGGAGTGGATTCGCACCAAGATTCTGGAAGAAGATTTTCGTCGCTATACACTGCGCGGAGGTGATGACAGCACCAGCGGCTATGCCATGCAAGGGACATGGAGGGATCGAGGGCGTGGCAATCGCGGTCGCTCTTACCACAGCCAAGGTGGTCGCGGGACTTGGAACCAGCGGGGGCGTGGTGGCGCTGGTGCAAGAGGAAGAGGTGGTCACTCCAACAATGACAACAGTGAACCACGCTTGAGGGGAGAGTGCTGGTATTGCAAGGAAGAAGGGCATCCATGGTTTCGCTGCCCTACCAAGCCCGACTGGTGGACCCCTTGGAACCAATCGGAGAAGGGGAATGGAGGAAAACAACCACATGGAGGTGCCAACATGGTAGCTGATCCTGCTGAAGAAACCTCCAAGGATGACAGAGGAATGCGAAATGAGGAGAGGAATGCTGGACAGTTCTACCATGTGTGTGACAAAGATGACAGTGGCACAGCTGTTGCAAGGGCTGGAGAGGAATTGCACCCGCTTGACATGTGGGTCATGGACTCTGGTGCTGCATGGACAATGACACCACGCAAGGACTTGCTGGATGCTGTGCGAGCGCCTCCAATCTCTGAAGTGCGCTCAGCATCCGGACATGCAGTGAAGGTCGCTGGAGTTGGTCGAGCTGCATTCAGAGCACCTGATGGTGGACTGGTTGTGCTGAAGGATGTGTTACTCGTACCGGGGCTGAAGGCCAACCTGATATCGCTGCGCAAGCTAGGCCAGGCCGGAGTCAGCACCACCACCAATGGATCCAAAACATTCAAGGGGCTGCGAGGAGATCGTGTGTTATGGGATTTACACGAAAGCAGAGATGTCTTCAGATCCATGTGGCAGATCCCTGCACTGATATGGGAATCAACAAAGAAGGAGTTGGGAGAAGTAAAGGCGGGTTCTGGAGTCCAGGGGGAGTGTAATGCAGTTAGTGCTGCAGGAGTGACGGTTTCTGCAAGGTCGGGGGAGACTGATTGGGAAACCGCACACAGGCGTCTAGGGCATGTGGCTATGCCATTGCTGCAGCAACTGCATAAGGAAGAAGCAGTAAAGGGGCTCAAGCTTTCTGGGCAACCAAATGCTACCAAGTGCGAGACGTGTCTGCTGAGCAAGTTCACACGGTTCCCCTTTCACGGCGTAGCTGGGAAAAGCAAGGCAGCACTGGAACTGGTGCACATGGACCTCGTAGGACCTTTTCCAGTCCGAGGAAGTAAGGGGGAAAGGTACTTCCTGACAATAGTTGATGACTGGAGTCGGCTGATGTGGGCATACCCGTTGAAGCAGAAGGATCATGCTGCCTCAACAATACGAGATGATTGGCTGCCGTTCGTCGAGCGACAATCTGGGCACCCATGCAAGAGCATCAGAACCGACCGAGGTGGAGAGTTTCTAGGAGGAGATCTGACTGCGTGGCTCAAGAAACAAGGCATTGAGCATCAGCTAACGACGTCCTATACCCCTCAGTCAAATGGCGTTGCTGAGAGGGCTAATAGGACCATCCTGGAAACTGCGCGAGCGCTGCTGATCGAATCAGGGCTGGGGAACTCCATGTGGCCTCATGCGGTGAGGCATGCTACAGTGGCAAGGAACCGCGTACTCACAAAGGTGGCTGATGATATGTGGGTGCCGCTGGAGAGGTGGCTTGGAAAGAAGCCTCCAGTGGACATGCTTCGAGTGTTCGGATGCATGGCAGTGGCGCATGTCCCTAAACCGTACAGGACAAAGCTTGGAGCATCTGCACTTTGGTGTGTGCACCTTGGGCTTGCGGCAGAGAGCAAGGGGTGGCTACTCTGGGAGCCCTCAAAGAATGTGCTGTTTGATAGTCGGGATGTCAAATTTGTGGAGAACATCATGTATGGCAAGTGGGAGAAGCAGCCGGAGGCAAGGGTCACCCAGCAGCTGGAAGAGATCACTATGCACTTCGATCTGTCCGAACCTGAGGACAGCGAAGTCACTGCGCCAACGGCAAGCGGTACTGATGAAGGAAGCAATGAGGATATTGCAGCTGATGCTGAAGTCAAGGATCCGGAGCAGCAGCAGCAAGAGGCTTCCAAAACACCAAGTCTGTCAAAGCGAAGGAAACAGATTGGTGGGGGGACAAAGGATTGGGTGAAGGTGAAAGAATGGGTAAATCCAACCATCTACCCTGCACGTACCAGAATGGCAATGAGAAAGCTGTTGAGCTCCACAAGTGGAGGAGCCACAACTGAGCAGCAGGAACAGGCTCAAGGCGAAGATGCAGTGCTGTTCTTGGGTGATGACCAAGAGTCAGATGACAAGGAGCCTGCATACTGCTTTTACGCACCAATACAACCTCCGAGCATGGATCATGCGCTAGCCGGGCCTCAACGGGGGAAGTGGCTCGTTTCAAGAGATGCAGAGTACAACAGCAAGATGGAGAATCACACATGGGACCTGGTGTACTTGCCAAATGGGAAGAAGGCAATACAGTGCAAGTGGCTGGCAAAAATCAAGACGGATGAGAAAGGAGAGCCATCAGTTTACAAGAGCAGGCTGGTGGCAAAGGGGTTTCAGCAGAAAGCGAAGGAAGATTACAAAGAAGTGTTTGCCCCAACTGCTAAGTCTCCAACGCTACGTGTGCTGCTGGCGGTAGCTGCTGTGCGCAAATGGAAGGTGAAGCAGATGGACATCGTAACCGCTTTTCTGTATGGCATTGTGGAAGAGGAGGTATACATGGTTCAACCACCTGGCTATGAGGATGGAACCGGTCGTGTCTGCAAACTTAACAAGGCCATCTATGGCTTGAAGCAGGCCCCGAGATGCTGGTACAACAGGCTGGCCAGTGCACTGGAAGGGATTGGATTCCGTGCGAGTGCATGCGACGAGAGCCTATTCCTGATGAGCGAGGGGGAGTCGCTTGTGCTTCTGCTGGTGTACGTGGATGACATCCTGCTCTTCAGCAGCAGTGACAAGGAGATCGATGGGGTGCAGCGGAAGCTCACAGAGCAGTTCAAGTGCAAGTCACTTAGAGAGGCAAGGTACTACCTGGGAATGCATATTGAGCGGGATACTGAACGTGGCTGGCTCAAACTGCATCAGGGACAGTACATCAACACCTTGGCTGAGAAGTACTCTCTGCAGGAAGAACGGGAAGTGGTCACACCTTTGCCTTCCGAGTTCAAACTCATAAAGGCAGCTGAAGGAGAAGGAGTTGAGAGTGAAGACCAGAGGCAATTCCAATCCATGGTCGGGAACCTACTCTACGCTGCTGTGCATACTCGGCCTGACATCAGCTTTGCTGTGGGACAGCTGGCTCGAGTAGTGCAAAATCCAACAGAAGAGCAGTGTGGTGCAGCGAAGAGAGTGGTGCGCTACCTCAAGTCATACCCTACAGTGGGAGTACAGTATTCAGCCTCTGCTCAACTCAGTCAAAAAAGAATTGAAGTCCTCAAAGAGAAGGGGGAGCAGCTCGGAGAAGGAAAGGTGTTCCTTTCCTGTTTTGCTGATGCCACGTGGGCTTCTGAGCATGAGGATTCATCATCAGTTGGTGGATACATCTGCATGGTGGGAGGTGGGCCTGTAAGTTGGAGGTCCAAGAAGCAGTCTGAGACGGCACTATCTTCAGTGGAATCTGAGTACATGGCGATGTTTCATGCGGCAAAAGAAATCATCTGGCTAAGGAGGCTCTTGAAGGAGATCGGCCATGAACAGACTTGTGCGACACCTCTGTTCAGTGATAGCAAGGGAGCCATTGCCATGGCACGCAATGCAGTTCTTCATGGGTTGAACAAGCACATGAGGATCATGTGGCATTGGCTGCGGAAGGAGGTGAAGCTTGGGACACTGGATCCGATCTACGTGAAAACTCAGCAACAGCCAGCCGACTTCCTTACCAAGCGGCTAGCTGAAGAGCCACACTGGCGCTGTGCGAGGATGGCGGGAATGTCCTTGAACTAGAGACGGCGAAACAAGCCGACAGTCTGAGGGGGAGTGTGTTGGTGCATATTCGTTTGCACGTCATCCTGTCGTCTGTTCGCATCATTTCGTTGCATGTGTTTTGTGTGCTACGTTGTTTGTATGGTTTGTTGGGTTTGCATGTCTTTGCATGTTCATCTTGTGCTTGTGCAGATGTGCTTGGATTGTGCATGACATCGAGCACATTCCAACGAGCCAAGAATTGTTGGAATCGGAGCACATATGAAGAAGTTACGAAGAAATGTTTGATGGATTTGTTACAACTCATTGGAAGTCCTTGTCAGCTGCTACACCAAAGTTGGAGAGCCCTATAACGAGGAGGGACCAGCATGTGTGGGACTTTTGTCCCCACCTTGCAGCTGCAGCATTTGGGGTTTGGAGGCCAACCTGGCACAGTGTGAAATTTGTCTTGCCAGGCTGGCTGAACCTGAGGATGGGGAGTCAAAACTTTGACTCTTGTCATGTTCTTGACCATGGGCCTCCAGGGTCCTTCCCTTTCATCCTTCACTTCCTACCCCACCTTCCAACTATGCTTCAATGCCTTTTCCATCATGTCTCTGAACTTGTAAGCTTCAATCATAGTGACTCTGAGGACTGTCAACTTCTCCTAGGGCAGATTACCCCCCAGTGCGCCAAACGCCATAGCTCACTCGTTTAGCTACGGAATCGAGTGATTCAACTTTCAGTGGAAAGCTGACACTGCCAGCTACAACATATCCGATTTTCAGATCGTTTCACCGATTGGAGTTTTTGATATAGCTATTCGAAGGTCGCGAGTTTTCTGGGCGTCATAACGAAGTGCTGCAGAAATTTCCAAGGAGCCATTGAATCATCTGCTTATAGCCTTCTCTAACCAACAGGCTTGAGCGCTGTTGTCCTTTTCGGCAGAAAGGAGCGCGGATGAGACCTTGGCAAATGTGAGGTCCGCAGGAGCAAGGCCCAAGAGCATCTTGCGTGTGACTTCGTATGCCGCAGTGAGGCCGACTAGGAGAGTGGCTGCAGGGGCTTGCTCGGGGAAGACTATCCCCAACTGTTTGAGTTCACCATGAATGGACTGCACCTTGGTGACATAGTCCGCCATGCCTGGCGAGTCCTCGAGCCGCACTTGGAACATGCTGGGGATGAGTATAGCAACTCCCACTGCAGTCTTGTTCAGGAAGCGATCTACGAGGTAGAGCCAAATGGCGTTGGCAGACGGGTAGTTGTGGTAGGTTTCGACGAGTTCGGGAGGAGTGGTGCCCATGAAGACACTAATGACCGCACTATCGGCCTTCTCCTAATTCTTGTACTTGAGCAGTGCAGCAGCATAAACTGCTTCGGCGGCGGCATTAGCTGGATTGGCGGACCTCTCGGGTTAAGGAGGCTCTTTGCCATCACCGATGTTGAGAAGGACGTCGGTGAGCTCGAGCCCCTTCACCTCGCGACTGAGGAGGTGCTTGTCGACACCATAGCGCCAAGCCTTGTAGTTGGAGCATGTGCCGTCCGGCTCGAGACGAAGGAGCGGGATCGGGTTGGCGAGTGAAGTGGTTGAGTAAGCCATTGTCGGTGTGCAGCGCGGCACTTCTGGAAATTGGTCGACGAGAATTGCTGAAAATCACTCTGACGGCTGTATCAAAATGCTGGTAAGTACGAAATGGCGTCGGCGAAAATTCGTTAAAACGCCGACTTGAAACTGAATCTGAGGCTATATCTGAGGGGAAACTCGAGAATGAGTTCTAAGAGATGGTCGAAATTGAGATTCGACCAAGGAGAACCGAGGAGGAAATCGACGATGAGAAGCGTGAACGCTTCAGAGATGAGAAATTCAACGAGGTCGAGCGCGAAGGCGGTCGACAATGAGAGGCGCGACAGCAGAGTGGAGCGCGTCGAAATTCCGACGACTGGAAACGAATGTCGCGACGATGAAGTGCGCATAGCGCGTGTTGGTGCATATTCGTTTGCACG